GGGGGGGGGGGGGGTCTTTCGGAAATACTCAAGCGGCAGAAACTTATTACCCGACACATAAGTTTTCCCTACACATTTTTTAATACCCAATCAAAGTCAACCAAATAAAGTCAAACTAAGCTACTAAACCAAGCTAAGCCAAGCCAAATCAAGCCAAATCAAGCCAAGCCAAATCAAGCTAAACTAAGCCAAATGGGTAAAAAAAAAGTTGGGATGGGTGAGTAGGTTGGGTAATTAGTTTTAATTGGGTAGGTATATATTGTAACTAGTTTGCAAATGGGTAGAGAAAGGTAATTGTTTTAAGCTCAATGGGTATTTTGCATAAATTTTTTTGTGTTCCCAACATCTAACAATGAGTTTGTCAAGTATTTAACGAAAACCAAAAGTATTTATTTGTACAAAATTAAACGATCAAAATTGCTCAAGATATAATTTCAAGGACTATTTTAGACCTATCTAAAAACACAAACAATCATTTTTGTAATTTTCTCGTAATGGGGTCATAGAGTAGTGGGATGTTTTAGTTATTTGGGCTAACTTTGGGGGAAGATAAAAACAATTTCACAAGTATACTAACTCGCTCCGAAAATACCTTTACTTTTGCTCCGTCTTCCTGAGCTAAAACCCTAAAACCTTTGCAGAAGTGCGATACCTTGTTCAGTCGATATGTCGGGACGAGGAGAAGAGAGCGATTCCGATGCTCCCGAAGAACTCACTACCTTACAGGTTCGTTTTATTGTGTTTTTTTCTGATCAAATTACTGTTTTTTTTTGGGCGATATCAGATGTAGTGGTAGTTGAGCTAATTGGTTTTGATTGCAGGGAATTGAAAAAGATGAGGAGATTAGAAAAGTTGAACGAGAAAATAAGGCTAGGTATGCTCTCTTCTTAATTTGATTTTTCCCTACCAAGGTTAGTGGAATTGTTGGCGAACCGTTATAACTTCAATTTTCAGATAGAAAATCTTCTTGACTGCTGAATTTATTGGCCATTAGTCACTGGAGCTGAATTTAGCTATATTATCGACCAATATGGTGAGGAGAAAGTTGAATCCTTTCCAAGTTGTTGAGGAAGCTGTTTCCTACTCCCTCCGTTCCAATTTATGTGAACATGTTTGACTGGTCGCAAAGTTTAAGAAAAAACGAAAGACTTTTAGAATTTATGATCCTAAACAAGTCAAAAAGGGGCCCAAAGTATTTGTGTGGTTATAAAAGCTTCTATTAAGGGTAGAATTGTAAGTTTAAGTTAAATTGTTACTCCCTCTGTTTCATATTAGATGAGTTAGTTTGACTCGGCACAAGAGTTAAAGAAAAAAAAAAGACTTTTGAAACTTGTGGTCTTAAAAGCTTAAGGGGTAAAAAATTTGTGGGGCCATGATATTTGTTTGGCTATAAAAGTTTCTCATTTAGGGGTCGTTTGGTAAGGTGTATAAGAATAGTGCGGAATAAAGTGTATTAGTAATGCAGAGATTAGTAATGCATGGGTTAGTAATGCAGATATTATTTCTTATCTACTGTTTGGTATAGTGTATTAAAATTATAATGCATTGCATTATTTTTTAAAAACATAGTTGTTTACAAAAATGTCCTCCATATTCTTTAGCTTTAAGGGACTTTAAGGACAATTATGTCTATAACCATACTAATGCATGCATTAATAGTCTTGGTATTACTAATGTCATGGTTTTCTATGTATTACTTATACATAGGATAATACCAAGTATGATGTATAACTAATACTTGTATTAATTATACACAGGTAAAAAAATGTACCAAACAATGTATTAGTAATGCATAGAGCTAATGCTTGCATTATTTTTTCTAATACCTCCTACCAAACGACCCCCAAGGCTAAACGGGTAAAATGAAAGAGTTTAAAGTTGAATTATTTCCAAATTTAGAAATGTGTCATTTGTTTAGGAACAGACTAAAAAAGATAGTATCTCATCTATTATGAAACGGAGGGAGTACCAAATTTAGAAAGGGGTCATTCTTTTTGGAACGGACCAAAAAGGAAATAGGTTCACATAAACTGGAACAAAGGGAGTACCTCTTAAGGCTTGAATTAGAGAAACTTGCATTTCTGTTGAAAAGTGTTGTAGCAAGAAGAAAAGGAGAAAGTTTAAGTTTTTGGTAAATTGAGAAGTAAACAAGTATTATATCCCTGCGTTGCTCAAGGCTAGATATTCAGTTGTTTTTTTGGGTCTAGAAATGTGTTGTATTTCCCTACTGTTTTTGCTTTGATGGTTTTGGAGATTGTAAGGTAGTATTATGGCCCCCGGACTTCGGTCCAGTAGTAAGGGCACAACGCATGACATGTGAGTTAGGTGCACGTTCGAGGTTCAAACTCCGTCGTAGATAAAAGCATGCACGTCTGCGGTTCGAACTCTGCCGTGGACAAAAGCATAGTAATTGTTGTTTAAGTGGACATGGATAGAAGGGCGGGCCTATTATCGATCGAGTTTCAAACCATGAGCCGCTCGCCTTGGGGATTTCTAGGTTCTCAAAAAAATAATAAGATTTAAAGTCTGTATTAGTTTCAAGGAAATATGAAAGTTCTTCTATTTGCCATTCCTTGCATATCTATAGTGTCAATGGCATCATACTTGCGCTTATGGTCCTTTGAGACGGATATTATAACATTAGGGATGACCCATTATTTAAGCCCTGAAAACTAGTAATTTGCTTGTAATTTTTCTTCATATGGTGGATGTTTGTGGGAAATTCCACGTGTTCAATTTGATATTCTTGCCTTGGAATTATAGCCTTTAATTGCAAAACATGATCAACTTATGGTCTTTGCATCTTTTGTTATGAAATGACTGCTCTGTTGTAGAGTTGTTCGAGAAGGTAAGGAACGTCGTAGACAATGGGCTCAAAAGTTAACTCCACGACATACTCGAAATGATGAAAGCATTGAAGACATAAAAGAACCTGAGAATGCCCAGGAGTCAAAGGACAATGGAGGAATGCTACCTGATGAGATTGTGAAAATCCTTGTAGCTCGTGAGAAGTAAGTTGCATTTCTTTGAGTATCCTTAGCTTCTATATTCTTCACATACTTCTCAGTTCTTGAAAAAGGGTATTCACTCGTTGTGCAGGAAAGTTTTCTCGTCAGACTCAGAGGAAGAACATGAGAAGAAGCCCACCTCTAAAAAGAAAAGATCCAAGAGCTCTGGGTGAGGATCATGCACTTCTCTCTTCTGCTTTAATAGATATAATTTTGATACCCCACTTTTAGTTACTCACTGTATTCTTGTGGCTTGTTCAGATCTGGACCAGTTATTTTGAAGGATCTACCACCTCCTCCGTGCTTAGAAAACTCACTGGAATTCTTAAAGAAACGCAAGATGCAGGTATCAAGGTCATCAGCTGTTTTGAACAATTCCAGTCAAGCATTACGGCTTCTATCCACATCTGGCTTGCTACGTAGCAAATGATGGCCGATGATTCTGAAAATTGTAAGCTCAGGCTTACGCGAATGTTGTATCGCTTGCTGTAATGAGAAATATGCTCTGCTAAAGGTGTTAAACGGAAAACGCCTTCCAGACATCTGATGGGGTAAACCATAAAGAAAGAAATCAAACGATGTAACAATTTTTGATGGTATATTGCAACTTTGTTTTTCCCAAATTATGGATGGGACTGTTCAACTGTCAAACTGCAACACTTCCATGCCAATCAAGTTTTGAATCATTAAGTAGTTAAGCAAGATTATGAATTGCTTAAACAAGAAAAAATGCTGTTTTGTCTAAGAAGCGTTGTCAGGTTAGAAACTACAGTTGGATGAAGTGATCCAGTGATCTTGTTGTATGCGTGGTTGTACTACAAGTGATATCAACCACCAATGGTAATTGCATCCTTATACTTGGTATACAAAGCTGTTATATAAGCTTTCTAAGGTTTTATAATTAAATCTAACTTTCAATTATTCTCAGCTGTACAGTGGTACTAGAATGATATAGTTAAAATGACATTCCTCTGAAGCGTGGTTCTCAAGTGTGTGATAAAGTCGAGTAGCCAGAGGCCCAGACAGCTGAGAAAAGTGTTTTAAATTATATTTGTGTTCAATTATGTCATCACCTCTAGTTCAATGTACAGTATCAAAGCAAGTATAGGTCTTGTTTCTAGTCTTATGCTATGCTACGCCATGAAAGAATTCAATATGCTTGGCCTCGCTTGTACAGAGCGTGTAAGACATTATTTCATAAAATAAAAAATTGTATCATGGTTCTAGGTGAGACGGTACACAATTTAAGATCTTGCAAATGTGTGTGTGTGTGTGTGGGGGGGGGGGGGGGGGTTCCGTAATTACTTACTGGGCTGAAACTCTCAGTCTAATCATTATGGTGATGTGATAAATTCACATTCTGGGGCTCAGATAAAGAAGGTTCTGCTATGTGGTTGTCACAAAACCATGCTTTTGAATGATTCCCTTGCAAGGATGATGAGTAATTGCAAGTTGCGAGTATAGAGAATGCCAGCCAAGCAAGATAGTTGGGATATATAGACAGTTTTCCTGGGATTACTGGGACTGTCCCTAGTAGCACACGTTTGGTTAATCTAGTTTTGTTCAGAGTGGTTTTTGATTCAGAATCACCCCTAATCGTTTCTTCTTTCTATTCCTTTGTGACCTCTAATACTTGGTTATCTTGGTTCATGGAGCGGGTCCAAATTCATAAATCCATTAGAAGGCACACCCTTTTCAAAATGTTCTTGTTGTCCCTGACTCTTGTTTCCGTTAAAGATTACCAGCCAAGCATAATAATGATCTCTTCTCGGGAAAAAAGTACAGTAGATACTAGACTATCTGCTCTCTCACCCAGAGCTACTACTATTAAACAAGATTGATACAGGGTTAAAAGTCTATTCGTCGGAATGAGTCTCTTTTATTATTAACAAAACACCAAAATTTGTATTTGCCAAAAAGAAGGATAGATGTAATAGTGTAGACGGCTAAAATATCTTCATCTTATCAAACAATTGCTAAACCCTTCAGCACACATTCAGAGAAAATGGATGAATGAGGAAACAAAAATTTATGGATAACAAGTTTAACCTTAACCACTTAATATACAACATGGAGAAAGCCACTCAAAATTTGTACAACACTTGCTTCCTCCCTCCAACAAAAAAAAAAAAGAAAAACTCATCTCTCCCTACCTGCAGAGAGGAAAATGAAAACCAGTGCGGGCAGGTCTTGTACAAGGCAACTCTTTTCACTTGAGGGATGCCAAAAAATTTGATTATATACAAGCACAAGGGAATCATAGATAGCTTTGCTCTTTTGCAAATAAACCATAGCCCCAAGAAGACAACATTGCTTACCATCCATAGCAAGGTTGCTCCTGCGTGCTGAAAAGAATATTCTTACATGCCCACCCCAAAGACAACATTTGCTCATACAACTGGCTCATATTTTCTTCTGTTAATCTCTTACCATCTTCAACCAGGTTAAACCATTGCTCAAGAACTGCAGTGGAACTACCGCAAGCTTCTATATCCTTGCGTACATAACTTGCCTGTCAATCACCATAATTACTTATTATTATTGAAGTACCAAAATTGGTGAATGACCATTATAAAAATCTTAAAAATAAGAAACAATTATTGCTAGACATGTTTCGAAGTAAAAGTAATGGTTTGCCAGCACTCCCTAGTTCATTTGCAAAAGGAAAATCATCCTTCCACATTACTACCTGAAATATTAATTACTATGAGAGTATGAAATGGATATAATAATGTCTTACATGCAAAATGCCCCTGATCACATCTGTAGTGCCGACCCCTTCCCGCAGCGAAAGTAGGACACCATACTGTAATAGCAAAGCAAGAAGAACTGCTTAAGAAACACATTCAGAAGAGCAACAGCTTGCTGCCCCTGATTACTTTTCTTTTTTGCCTTTGGCTATACATACCTCCTGATTCCTTTTCGATTCACTAGTCAATCTCTCTGGGCTCAAGAAATAAAAGTCTTCATTAATCAAAGATTCCATCATATTCTTAGATAGCTCTGCTGTGCAAGGTGTAGGATTTACGTAACCGATTCTGATAGACCATGGCTCTCTGCCTGATTAAAGCTGATTAATAAGCTTTATCTAATAATGAAGTAGCACCAAGTGAAGCAATAATGCCTTATTACGGAAACATGCAAGTTAGCAATTACCTCTGCTCCAAGATAAGCCAATACCCTCCTGTTTACTCACCTCTGCAGGTGATGGGACAAATCCTTGTTGAATCCATGTGCTTATAATAATCTCAAGCCTATCCTGGAATTAATGTAAAAGGAGTGATCAGAATCAACATGTGTAGGATGATTAATATTCACACAAGAAAGACTGTTAAGCAGGCCACGACATATCACATACATCTTCTCCTTAGAGCGAACATAACAAGTCTTGTCACTTTTAATTGTTGATTCTCACTCAAATCTACTTCCTATAAGAAAGACAGTATAATTCAATTTGATAATTGATCCTTTCTGCATAGAGAATGAAGGTCAACCTTAGTTAATGTCTGCAGATGCACATGCTTTAGTCCTTGATATATACCAAAAAGATCAACCACTGAGAAGATTGGGTACACCACAAATGGTAGACCTGCTTGCAAACTTTTACATCATCGAGAAGTCAGGAATCTACATCACAAGGATTAGTACAGAAAAAGACACAAACATATAATAACTGATTCTTTGATTATAGGACCTTATATATAGGAAGGAAATAGTAGAAGATATAATCTAAGTTGCCCCGACATGGCAGTTTAGGTGTCGCACCCGTGTCGACACAACACTAGTATGGATGTGGGTATGGGATCCATACCGGATATGGTCAAATAATTTTGGGTACTTTGACCCCGACGAACGAAAAAATTCGAGACTATATACAATCTGATTCCCGAAATCAGAACAAAAAATAGAGTGAATTTAAAGAAAATAGCATGTCTTATCTATGAAATCGATCCTTTACTTATACGTAAGTATTCCACAGAATTTTTCATAATTTAGAGATATTTTTATATTTTGTATTTTTGAATTACTTTTAGCCAGATCCCCACACCCATATCCGTACTAGGATCCGTATCCCTGAATCTTAGAATTTACATCTCGAAGGATCCGACTTCTAGATCCGCACCCGTGTCTGAGCAACTTAGGATATAACCACACACTCACTTCTCATATCACAGTGTAAAAAAGAAATGATAAGAGCAATGCGTATAGACTGTTCCACTTCAACCACAACAAGATAGGCTAAACGGAATGGTCCATGAAGGCAAATGGAAAGAATCTCTAAATAATTTGAAATATACAGAAAAAGAAGCTGGCGATAGTTCAGAATTTCAAGTTGGAAAAAAGAACCTTGGATTATTAGCAAATAGTATATTCAGGGCTGCAGCAAGTGCAAGACCAAGATTATCGAAGCACACTGTTTGAATCTGAAACATAAACCAACAGTCAGATTGGAATAGCGAAATTAATAGGAATATTAATCATAACACTACAGATCCAGCAATGGCGCGATGAATTATATACATAACCTGTTCTTTTGCAGAAACCTCACCAAGATTATCGGCAATTGCAAAGCTTCTATGAACGGCAGTCTGTTAACATGTAGACAATAAATTCTTGATCAGGAAAAATCCAGCTCAAACCTCAATGGTACTGATAAATCAAGAACTTAATTGTGCTTATTCAGATCACAAAAATTAACATGTGATTTGGCTATTTAAGAAAACTAAACTTATTCAACATATTCGTTCCCCCATTAACTGGCAAAAACAAGCAGTTAATAGCGGAAAATGTCATGTTGAGAAATTCATTGCATAAATTCTCTTCTAGATGTTATAAATATGCTAAAAATGCTTAACAGAAGACAAATTGCTTCTCTCAGATCTCCATGAACAATGAATGTGAATTGGTCATTTGCGGAAGCGATTGGCTACAGTACTCAACTTCAACTAGTTACATTTACCTCAAGTTCAATTTCAGAGACCAATTCAACTTAAGTAGCATCAGCCTTAAAATGCCAGAGTTGACGTGGGATTTTACAGTAGAAATTCAAAGCCTCTTAAGTGCATAGATTTATTAGCCTATTATTTTGAAATATGTCAAATGCACTTTACATCTTAATCTTACCAATTTATATAACAAAAATTTGAAGAAATCAATTCATATGTCAAGTTGCAGTTGAATTGCTAGAACCACAAGGGAACTTTTTCTTTGATAACCAGAACCCACAAGGAGAACTTAAACATGGTAAACTGCTGGCTGGCAAGAGAAGTGAAATGGTATTGCTTATGGTCAAATAACTAGCTCACATCTACCAAGTATCATAACAAGGAGCTAAACCTGGAGAATTTGAGATAACTGATCAGATAAAAGTGCTATACTTCACATGCATATAAATATGAACATATGTTTTGAAGCTGAGACTTACACCAGTTGCTAGGTAACACGCAAGGCTTATTTGCTTGGCGATGTTGGCAATTGATGCAAGCATCAAAAAGTATTGTGGGAATACAGGAGTCAACAATTCAACTCCAATGCTCAAACTGAAGAGAACAGATGTATAGAACCTTACTCTCTGCAGCCAACACCAAAAAAACAAAGTAAGAAACATGCCAGATGAAACTTAGATAGCCTCTTGAGTAAATGAGGCCACTCGTGCCCATGTATTGAAAGATGGGAAAGAAATATGAAGTGAGATGATTGAT